GATGAAATCTTGGGCAGAGGTCAGGATGGGGGGCAGTCGGGGGGCTTAAGGAGGCGGGATGAAAGGCTGCTTGTCACGGTAACTGGAGGCATTGGCCGCGTTGTCCACTTGAAGGGGGAAACGAGAAGGGTGAGTTTGCACGCCTTGGGGCTGTGGCAGAGAGTGAGAGAAGGGAGAGAAAATACTGTGGCACCTTCCACACGCCAGGGAGGAAGACCCAAAGCGTGCCCAGGCACACGGACTCCGACACCATCACTTCTGTGGTCCCTGGAGGGAGTTCTGGAGGGCTTCCTTGAGTTTCAAGAGCCTTGAGCGGTTTGGCTGCTGGCCCCATTCGCCAGATGGGCTCTGGCCCCATCCACTTCCAGAGTGGGACCCTTAAGGGGCCAAAGCTGGCTCCCCAAGGGGTCTTCTCCCCCCTCACCCCCAGTGGAAAGGGAAGGCAGCTCTGCAGGGGTGGGCGTCTTAGGGTTGTACCTGCTGAGGCTGAAACACCTTGCGAGATGCCCGGCCGCAGGGGGGTCCACAGGGCGTGGTCCGAAAAGTCCATATGGGCACCTACAATATGGGGGGAGCTTTGGTCATCCCGTCGTAGCCGCCATCTCGCCTTTTTGGCCCACGCCCTGCAGACACTCCTGCTGGCCCCCAAAGGGCACCACACCTCAGGGCCCAGCCAGCTCCGAACCGGAGCCTGCAGCTCCTCCAGCTTCCTTCACTAAACGGAGGGGGCCCACCTTGGCTCCTTGAGGGCAGCTTGCAAAGCGGGCAGCATGAGAAGAGGAGAGCACGCACAGAGTTTTCCCCTCTAGACTCAGCCCCTTTGGGTAGGCTCTGGTTGAAGGAGGGGGCTCTCTGTGAACCCCACACCCCAGTGAGATGGAGCCTGGGGCAGGGAGCCACAGGGAGGACTTGACCAGGAACGGCTGCACCGCTGGCGGGGAGACGCTGCTCAGGCCGGGCCTGAGGGGCAGTAGGATGGTGAGGGCCATCTAGGAAGGCAGCAGATGCCCATGCAGGGCCGGGTCTGTCTGGAGGAGCCGGACGGCGCCCGTTCCTGTTTCCATCCTGAGCCTGGGCTGTGCGAGCCCCGAGGGGGACCCTCCTGCCCCTCCGGTGGGCGGCAGACGGGCCGGGAGCTGGGAGCAGGCGCGGCTGGCTCCTGGGGAAGGACGGAGCCAGTCGCGGTGGCTTTAGCCACCCGCACGAACCAACCTGTTTCCATGGAGATGCGCCATCCAGAGCTTTGAGAAAGG